CCAGGGCAGGGCAGGAGAGCACAGCTGAAAGAAGACAAGGATGGCTTGAGTGACAGGAGGTGCTACGCACTTCGAGTGGAGCAGAACTGCCTTTGAGCTTTTTCTTTTTATATTCTCCCCTACATGAAACAGCTCAGATGCAGCAGAAATGGTTTTTTTTCCCCACGTCTCTCTCTTTTTTTTTTTTTTTTTTTCCTCCCGAAATTACTATTGGGTGGTGCATAATGGCAATTTCTGTAGGGGGTGGGGGGGAAGAGGAGTTGACATGAGCTGGAGGTCTGATATTAACCATTTCAGAGCAGTGCTTGCTTCGGTGGCTCTATGTCTAGAAGCTCTTGGACAGACATTACTTGAAAACACATCAGGTGAATGACTGACTTCCCACCAAGAACAGAAAGCCATATGGGAGAGCAGCAGCCCACCAGAAACAACCAGAAGAAAACTGGACATGATGGCGAAAAGACCCACGCAATTCAGCCCATTCCAGAGCAACTGGCATTATTCCTTAAGTTGCACAGAACCTAATTCTTAGGATGACAATTTAAGTTCCTCCTTTTTTTTTTTCCCTCAGAAGAGGTTGATACAGTATAAGTCTTGATATAAGACCAGCAAATCACTTCTCCTAAGTCATCAACTGCAACCAGAAGGCAAGCACTGTCCATGAGCGACTAGGCCAAACTGGCAAACCGAAGGGCGTGTGTATTGGCTCTCTACGAGGAGAAGCAACAGCTCCACAAAAGCAGATCGTGGTTGATAAATAAGAGAAAAAAGGTAAGATTACCAACCAGTATTTTCAGCCAGCCAGCCAACAATGAGGCTATCACACCCTTAGGTTTTTTCATTTGCTCTGTATACAGTTATCAAAGCAATTAGTGCTACAACTTCGCTACCACTGTCAACATAATTGGATACTTTTGTCACCTCAGACTATTCCATTCTGTTACCACGAAAACGAAGCGAAAATTTCATCCTCTTAAACACAAACCTTAAAAAAGTAAAATAAACAAACGAATGCAACATAATAGTGTCTTTCAACGCATTTCCTCCTGAATGAGAGAAGCCAGCTGCTGGGCAGGTACTAAACCCCTCCTGGGTTTTGTGTCTGGCAGCCTGCTTATAATGTGATACTAATCCTTCAATTCATACTTCAGCTAAACACATAATAAAAACATGAGAAATGTGCTGCAGAAGTAATTGAACGACCAGCTGGGTAGCTAATAACCCAATGAATACTCTCCAAAAACCCCATACACTCCAAAGTCTTTTTCACCACAACTTGGCCTCTCCAGTATGTTTGGACAGCATAAGCTAAACATTTCTGTAATGCAGACAGATGTAACCCCAAAACGAGGAATCTGTCCAGGCAGATTAATCTCTATCTGCAGAGAGCATTTCTTAACATACTTACCACTGTGTGCAGCACAACTCTAGTCAGGCTGTCATTCTACTTCAGATACTAAGACTACAAAAACCTTGTTTTCTCTGCATTAGTCCTCTCCCCGCTGCTACTGCTGACAAGAGTTCCCCTGGTTAGGATTTTTTTTTTTTTGACTTGGTGTGGAAAGGTCCAGTAAAACCACAAAACACATAAACCAAGCCCTGCCATTCTAAGTACTGGCATACTATTTTGGATGGAGATCCACTACAGATTTGGTATGTATCTCCCCTTTAATGTTCACAGCACATGACTGTGCTAATAGAAACTACAGCTGTAAAGGAAGAAAGATTGACTCTCATAAGAAAAATTTAAAAAGTCACTAATCAAGGGAAACTTCTCAAGAATGAAGCTGTCCTGGTTTTGCGGAGACAGAATCTTAGGCCAGCCATGGCTGTTAGCAGCTTCAAGCTGGCCAGGTGCTTAGGCTAGGAGGGGCAAAAGCCAGGGCAGCTGAACCAAACTGGCTAAAGGTGTGTCCCGTAATATCTGCTGCCGGTAAAAAGGGCAAGTTGGGTGAGGAGGTTCTCCCAGCTCCTGTGGGCTGCTCTTCTGTTTGCTGCTGCATACTCATTTGGCTGAGTATAACTGTGTACACCTTTTCGATATTGGTGCTGTTTCAGTGAATCTGTTTCACTTCAACCCACTGGTCTCTTCTCCTTTTCCTCATTTCCCTTCCTGGCTGGTCAGCAGGTGATAGGGCAACTGCTATAGTTTAGCCCCAGGTATGGGCTAAATGGAGACAGAAGTCTAGATGGAAGAAGACACGCAGAGACTACAAGCAGGTTCACCCTCTTATAAAAGACTCCTCCAGCTGGTCCTCTGGAAAAAAGGGGGCTGACTGACATATACTTACTTTGCTGCACCCCAAACAGATGAGGACTGGAACCACTGTTTCTTCTCACGGAGCTGCTATCAAAGCATTTAATTTGCAGGGTCTTGCTGGAACCCACAAATAGTATTTTACAAGAAAATTAGAGAACCTAGTTATTGTCCTTCTTAATTAAAACTGTGGCCTGCATCATGACCTCCCCTTCTAAGACTGAATCACTGGCATATTTGAGACAAGTTCCTTGTATAAACAGGTTAATATTTAAAATCTGTCCAGGCACTCTGATTACTGCCTTTTGCGATGCTGGATCAAACCGTCCTGGCTTGTGACTGATGTGAAGGACAGACTGGGGAGTGCAGTGGAAAGCTAGTAACAACGGCGTAGGAAAGAAGCGCTGACATACTTACAGTTGCATTTCTTCTGAACAAATCTAAGCTTGCATGCTGTTCGGTAGGTGGACAAACGAATGCGATCCAGATCTTGAGCCCCTGGTAGAAGAGAATAACAGTGACACTTGTATGGAACATGACCCGTGTGTGTCTTTGCTAGCAGGGAAGCCAGAGAACAAAGAGGACACATGAGCTGACTCTGCTTAATAATTTTCAAGGCTCTCTCCTTTGCAGCGAGAGTAGAGAGGGTTGAGGAGAAAGAAGGGAATGGCAGGAACTACAGTGTTAAAATGAATTTTATAAAGGAAGGCACGGAACAGTCCGCCCACTGTGTCTGTCACTTTGACGAACAATCTGGTCAAGCTGCAGGCTAAAAGACACTCTGGCCAGGCTCCAACAGCAGCGAAAGCCTCCATCTAATTTTAATATTTAACAACAAAGCTCATAAGAAATACCTTTGGCTGACATGCCAGATCAGAATAAGGTATTGCCACCAAACCAAATCGAAACAATATCATGCTGTAATGAAAAGACTGATAGCAGTCTGCAGAAGGGGGGAAAAAATAATGCAACGGCTGTGAGGCCTTTCTGCATTTTACAGAGGCACCTTCTCTGCAACGGAGACCTCAAAGGGTCAGTTCTCCGCTTCACACACAGCTTGGACCCGGCTGCTCCAAATTAAACGTGTGGCAACGTTTCCAAAGCAGCCATCCAGGAGATGGGGATGAACTGACTGGTTGCTACTTCACATACAAGCACAGTCCAGAGGGGCCAGGATGGGGGCAGAACCTGGCACAGTGTCTTTAGGCCTCCTGCTGCTGTGTACCACCAAAACCTCAAAACGTAGATGAGGAGGTTGTGATTTAAACCTTTCTCCCTCTTGGCTGGTACACCTTACATAAAGAATTGTGGCCTCATAGCTACAATATGGCCTATGAAATACAAGAATTATTAATTTTATCAGGCATTTCATGGAAACAGATTAATTTTTTGCATATTTGCTTTTTCACTGTGGTTGGCCTTGTAACAGGAGTAGAACCTCTTCTATTCAGTTGAGCGAGGTACCACGTTAGAAAAACCAGGGTTTCTTAAGGAACTGTCTGCATGAAACACATCCAAGGAAGGTACAATCAGGCTGTAAGAGGAGTGGAGCGGAATATGGCCCAATTCTGCTTTTACAGATGTTTCCCAAACACTTTAAGACTCATCTTGACGTTATTAGACTGGCTGCTCAGCTGCACTGTTGTACATATGGCCGTGTCGGCATTGTTCACACACACTTTCTTAAACAATCTGCCATCCTTTGGACCCAAATTTTTCAGATGTGCTCTGACCTGTGAGATGAAAACGAGACTGATACTCTACCCTTTCCCCAGACTCTGCTCTTTTCCTGAGTGGATTCTCCCACATCATCTTCCCAGTGCTCCCAGCTACTCCCTTTTGACAGCTGGCTGTCTTAACACCATCTGCTCCTGGGAGAAGCTACCCTTAACTACTTAACATTGGGTCTGGAAAGTTTTTTTTTTTATTTTTTTCATCATATGATTTATTGTTAAATCACACAGGCTTTTCTCTTCTCCATTAGCACATCATTGACAGCTTTTGGAAAACTTCTTTACTGGTAAAGTGGAGGATAATGCTTGTAACACTAAGTCTTTCCTTTTTTAATAGGCTCAATGAGTAAAATGAATTTAGTTTTTCCCCTCTTAACTTTAGTGAAAGCTACTAATAAAAGCTTCCAGTGCTACTTCAGCCTTTTAACAAAAAGATTCAAAGCAAAGTGAGACTCTGGCTCATTGAGCTTCCTAGGTCGCTGTATTAACCCTAATTAAACAAATTTGTAGGCAAGAATGCTACTTTTTTTTTTTTCTTTACTATTTACACATACAGTGGATGGTATTATTTTGGGAATATGTGTTTTTGCTGATAAACCCCTGAAACGGACCACTTAATTTTATCATGATTCACATTTTGCTGCAGCCAGAGACCTATTTGTCGAGTAAATTCTGTAGAAAAGAGACTTCACTTGCATGGAGAGTCCTGAAAAAGCAAGTGGACAGATGAGTGGGACCGAGCACAGCAAATGGGACTGCGAATTTGTAGCTTGCCTACAGGACTGCTGGTGGCCACTCCTTCCTTTCGCCTGCTGGCAGAGTTTCACTCTTGTTTCCTTTGAATATGCTCATCTCACGTAACACTGTTTGCGGTTTGCAAAAATAATAAAGGGATATACTGCAAGCTTTGGCTGCTGTTTTTCCGGCTGGATAACATGTGCTGGCAGCACAACAGTGACGTACATTTTGAACTCTCTTCACCAGTCTGGATACACCTGAGCCTGTCCAGTAAGACTAAGGGTAGCCTAGTGATTTGATGGCCAATGGTGCATTTTCAGGTAAGACACAATTTAAGCTCTAACTCCAGGACTCTACAGAATCTGATATTGATTATGGTACTAATTCACAAAGGTTTGTAATTTGGAACTAGGAAGATGCCTTTTCTGAAGGAAAGGAAACAAAAAAGTTAAACGAAACTCCTTTAAATACAGGGAAAATCACATAGTGGCCCAAACGTAAGGTGAGAGTCAAATCCATCTATTCCTTATTCAGAACAAATTTCCTACTTAAAAAGTCAGGAAACGTTAGATTTTTTGATTATTTTTTTTAGCTGTCTTGTGTAGTCTGGAACATGACCCGCTTTCTAAAAGTATTGTGGGGTTTTAATCAGACTTACAGATAAGTCTGCAAGAACCTAAACCACTGGCAAAGTCCTCTGTATTATGCATTTTCTTCCTCTAACATCAGCAGGTTCTGGAGCATACCATTTACCAGAAGCTTATGCTTGTTACAACGTTAAGAAGCTTCACAAGGCCCACAGTATGTAGGGCGTGTGGAGTACATGGTTTTTGTTGAACATGGATTGTGTGGGCTTGCACACAGCTGAGGCCTCCTGAATGCAAAGCCAGGTTGAGTTTCTGTTTCACTGAAGCACACCCTTTACACACACAGGAATCCGAGGGACTCTCAAAATGCAACATTCAGTGTTTTATGAATATGGACATCTCTTTGCCCGAAAAACAGGTCTTTTTCACAAAGACTTAATATTTTCCTCTCTT